TAGTAATTATCAACACATTTTCGGCCTAACCTCATGCTTGCATAATTGACGATCAGAATGCGGATGTAAAACCACCCTTCGAGATGGTTTACAAGAGGACAGCGTCACCAACCCTGAAGTTTTGATCATACAAATTCTTGTCAAGAATTCGCAACTAGAGGGATGTCATGCTGTTAGACTCTTCATTCACAATGGATGTGTCATATCTGCTACCACATAATGTCTACCACCTATCCCTCTTCTATATGAGTTTTGAATAAGTTGCTTGATAGCTGTATTTCAACAGCTAATACCACAAACCCCTTAATGTGTTTTTGTGTAAAAGGCCAAAATTGGTAATGCAACCACGGATTAGTGTGCAGTACCGCGTCGTTCATAACATGTGCTAAAGCAGATGAAGGTGATTTTATAAGAAAAATGTATTGTGGTTATTCCAAATGTTGCTTTAAGCAGAGTTCAAATGATTTGAGCACTTGTCCAATTATCGAGTTGGTTTGAAAATTTTCGGAAATGTTTCACGTTTGTTTAGAGCAAATTAGATGATGCGTTTCTTGCTGAAGCAAGACGGGACGAATTTGCAGATTCTTTAACATGCAATACTCTGACCGTAGTGCTATGTCAACTGCTGCACGGATCGATGGTAGCTTCACCAACGTATGTCCTGATTTGACAATTCAACACCTTCCTAACAACAATGCATTAAGGTATTGTGGAGGCATCAGACCTAAGAGGCTATTTACCGACACTTCACCACACCTCCGAGTGTGTTCTACATTCAAAAGAGTTCACCTTAAGCATTGCGTGAGGCAAACAAACACCACAAATCAAGTGATGTGTTTTGAAGTACTTGATGCACAATCCATTGCGTATTCCATCTCAAATTCACAACGCAACTCCCTTGCCCATCGCTAATTGGCTTCCTGCGTCGTCGCAAGGCCTTTCTACCTCCTTTGGCCCCAACGACAGCAACCAATAACCACGAACTGCACCTTGTCGACCCTTCGTACCAATAACTTCCAATAAAATTAAGCGCGCGCGTAGTACATCTTGCAGATAAAATTATTCTCTCACCTCGACATTCAACCTAAATACCACATGACCCACTTGAGCACCAGAATTATCCAAGTTGCAGAATGTTATCTGAAACCGGTCGAGGCATTCATGATACAACCCACCAACACGCCAATAACAATCGCGACGACGACGAAGACGACACCGACAGCACAATTCACAATTTTGTTTTTGAAACTTAAAAAAATAGTGCTCACACACG